TTCCCGAGATTACCGATGCATTTGTTTTTATATCAGAACTATGTTGTAAATAATCGAATATATTTTGAATGCTATTCTAAACATCCATATTTTAATGTTAAATTGCTTCTGATTTCTTTTTCTTCTTCTTCTCCTTCTCTTCTTCTTCTTCTAATGCTTCTTGCACTGCTGCGATTATTTCCTCTTTCGGTGCCTTCTATTCTGGCATCAATATTAATTAATATAATCGCTTGCTATGATATTGTCAACATTCATTTGGTTGATAAGTAATTGAACTGCTTTTTTTTTTCATCCTCCAATTCATTTTCTAATTCGTACATTTCTTCATCGGCCAGAAATACCCGTTCTTATATTGTTTTGTCATGTTACTAAATAGTAAAGATAATCCGTAAATCACGTGATCCGACTTATTTGTTATAATCTGGTTGACAGGATGAGTTACGACTTATCGCGAATTTACGTATATGTGTTGTCCGACTTATCGAAAATTTTTGTCCGAGTTAAGCCAAATCCTATGTAATATGACAAAGCATCTGACAAAAAACCTTAACTTTAGAATCTAAGAGCCAGAGAGGAATTTGATTTTGATTCTAAAGCCTTTGCCAAAGCTGTTGCTCCTGTATCTCCAATTTCATTATGCTCAAGATTCAATGATGTCAAAGAGAAATAATATACTAAAAGAAGAAAAGGAGAATTAGGAGAGAATTATTGATGATTAGGTATAATAATAACTGAATTATGTGTTAGTCACAGTTGCACCTTGATATAGTCACCTCAATATAATTGCATTTGCAATATAGCCACACATTGCAATTTACTAGGCCTATTGAGTGACTAGACAAAAAGAAAATATAGTCGATAAGCTTGATAATAATTTCAATAAGCACTACCACGATTAGTAGCATTCGGGTTTACAAATTGTGTTTTTCTTATTCAAACCCGAAATCTGTAATAAAACTAGGGCGGTTATGAAGGCCCATGTGCTTCGTTTTGGGGCAAGTTTGATCCGCTGTTAATATTAGTATTAGTATTTCCTATGGTTTAGTATCACAAAAGCTTAGAAATATAATATCTGTAAATATTATAGTTAACATTATGCATGAAAAACTGAAGGAATTGCAAAAAATGTGGTGACGTATTTTGTTTTTGAAAGACAACTAGTCACCGAACAAAGTTTATAGTCCATTAGGCTATAAATAATAAATATCTCACTTGACTGTTAGTAAAATGCGTGTCCCATCATTGTCCATTAGTAGTTAGATTCGGTTTTTGGACTGTATTTATAAAGCTTCGTGCACGGTAAAAAATTAAATCCAACGCTAATTAAATAACAGTTGTTGAATACCAAAGTTAATCCATTGAACCAGCTTTGCAAAATTGCTACGCCGTTATTTTTATCACTTGGTGATGGCAATCATGACCTGCTATTTACACTGCACAACAACCGTATTAGGACTATTCGAAATGACAGTACTTTTTTGATATATTCATACTATACTAATAGCACATTCAATTTTCTAGGCGTAATTACGGTAATGCCTTGAATAGGATGATGCATGTGCACAGCACGGCAACTTTATTAGCTTTGCCATTATCGTTATAGCACGTATATAGAATGCCTTACTCCAATTACGAGCATAAATAAACGCTGTTTGTTTCGTTGTTCACAAATGTCAGTAAACTTTGTAACTTGTTAAAACATGACTAAAATTGCTACATCTTATACAAGGCGTTGCTGTACATATTTCATTTCTTCCAAGTGACAAAAAGCATTTATCAAATGTCTTGACTTATTTATGAAGTTTAATTCACATAATTCTCTTGCTGTTGAAGGCTCTCCAAAATTTATTATGGGCACTTTATTAGTAATACAGTGACGCTGTGAAAAGAACAGTCTGGTGGTATCAATGTTCTGCTAGATTACAAATGACTGAACAAACAGAAACACGAATACACAAGCTCGAGAAAATTATAAACTGCTGTTGTGTCTGAAATACAGTAAGTAATGTCTGCAGTACGTTATTGTGATATGTTCGCTTTGTAAATTTCCGCAATTTACATATGCTTGACCTGCGCGTTCTAACCCGTTTATACTTGTATAATGACGTAATATATACTTCACGAATAGTTATATTTTTATGCTTACGTCTATGCAATAATACTGTAGTTTTTACTAATTGTCGTTTGATACTCGTGAAAGTTTTGTCTATGAAACTCTGTAATAAACAATCAATGTCCTCGAAACAAATTATTTACTTTCTAATAACTAAATAGTTTCCCAATTTCTCCTGTTCCATGTATTATTGTTATGTTTCCCCAATTATATTACGTTTTAATTACCCAATCAATACATGAACCGCTGACGTCGCCGGCTGACCATCGCTCAAAAGGAACACGTACTGCGGTCCGGGAGGAACCACAAACGCGTTCGGTGGCATCCATACGTTTGTTGTGTAGCTTCCGTCAGTGTTAGCAGTCACTTTATCCACAAATAATTTGACACATCTCATCGACATTGCTTGCGAGTGAGTCTTGAACCCAGTGTGGATCAACGTTGCGGTAACAGCACCAGGTTGAGCACCACCGGCAACAGTAAACGTAACCTGATATCCGGCACCGTATTTAACGTTTATGGGCGCAGTGTTAATAGTTGAACTGTTGAAAGAGGTAATGGTCATTCGTGGCTTTGACGGATCTATATACGGTGGCGTGAACACTTCTGCACGGTATCTACAAGTTTTCAGATGGGGTCAACCAATTAGCAAGATATCTCTTAAGTCTGTTTTGTAAATAACCACTTATGTTTGTTATAATACATACTCTGTAATAAATTGAACGTTTGCAGGACGAGGTTCGGGATTAGGATTACTTCCAGCAACCCAGATCGTCCCATCAGGAATCAACATTGCCACTGAATGATACATTCTTGGAATGTCAGTTGCTGCGTAACGCGTCCAGCGTTGACCTTTAGGCGCGTTCATATTATAGGCTACTGGAAATAGTACTGGATCGGATTGAAGATAGCGAGCTCCCTCGACTGTAATAAAAAGATTAGAGGGTTAGTAAATAATTTTCCAAAGAAATAATAATAATGCATAACCATAAAAATTCCCCCCTTTCCCCTCTGCCCTCCCGTCTCTGCCCTCTCGCTTCTCCTTCGCAATACTACTTACAATATCCTGCTATTCCAGTGGCGGCTCCATTAACAAATACCATCGTTCCATCCGGTAACGCAACCGAATCACCCATTATTCTTCCTTGACCACCAAAATCGTCCATGTCCCAAGCCGGTTCCTGTTCACCCAGATTTAATCTTCCGCACGTATTATCTGCCGGACTGGTAGACGACTGCACGGCTTGTCCTCCACAGATGATCATTTCGGGATTGTAGTTGTTTTCATAAGTCAATGGAAGCAAAGCGCAGGATCCGGTTAGAGGATAAGACCGCGGAACCCCGGGAATATCGGGAAGAGCTTTGATGACTTGGTTTTGATTGATATCATATACGACTGACTTTGTGTTTGCAAAGATGAAGAGATAGCCTTGATAGTAACCGTCAGGGATGACAGTCACACAAGGGTAGAGGTTGTATGGAAGCCTGATGAAAGAGAATGGGTGAGCTATGTGAGCGAAAAAAAAAGGTTTAATAGTCATTTTCATAAACGTGGTTTAGATAACTTACGTGTCAACCAAGAACTGAATCGGGAATGCACTACTCGTTCCGCTATTAGAATAGATCTCGTATGTTGGATTATTCTTTGCTGCACTATTTGCTCCTGTTGGTACCTTTGATCCTCCAATATCAAGGGTTCTTCCGTCTGGAAGACTGAATGTGAATAATTAAAGTTTAGGATATTGTAATGGCATGAGCCATTCCTTTTCCCTCGCATTCCCTCAACCCCTCTTCCACTTTCCCCCTTCCACTTTTTCCTTCCCCTTTCCCTTCCCCCTTCCACTTTCCCCTTTCTCCTTCCCCTTCATTGTACTTACGTAAGCATAGCGTTGTACCACCTGAAGCTACTTAATGGTTGCGGTAACTCTGTCCATGTACAAGTATCATCCTGACAAGGTTGAAAAAGCCTGATTCCGGTAAACCCGGTTTGAGCATTTATGCCGTTCTGTAAAACTGCATCGCTGCCCCCGTTGCTCATGAACGTGCCGTTCCCGAGAAAAGCTCCCGCTGAACAAAAGGTGTTGGTCGTCAATCGCAAAACACGAAACGTGTTGGTGTCTAGATGATATTCGCATGACCATCCTGTTGAACCGTCTGGCAAGGTTGCATTTGGACTTGATTCAGCTAGAAACGGTGGAAAAGATTAAATTATTTTGAGAGCAAAAAATTGGGGTGATCTATTTAATTACGTAACACGTGATCGAATTAGACATTTACCTTTATCAATGATCAATACTCGATTGGGAGCTATTAAAACGGCGTGCATCGCGGTGACGCCTGTGCTGTAATATATGAAGACGAGGTTAGTAACATTCATGATCAAAGGTGGTTGCGAACTTTTTGCGAGGATATAAGATCATATTTTGTTTTGTCCAAAGAAAATACGTACTTTCCGACTACCTTCCATGAACCTTGTGCCGAGACAAAAGTTGTAATTAAAAACAGCACAGCGGCTGCTACAATTAAAGTCATATTTATAATCTTCATAACTGAAAAATTGATAATTGAAATATTTTCTAGAGTCGAGACGTGTAATTTAGAGCCTGCACACTTATTGTCTAGAGGACGGAAAGCAATATTGCAGTGTGACTCGACATCCAGCTAGCGTCAGTTTATCGAGTATTTATCGTCTTACGACGCCTGCATATCATTTGATGAAAACAAGTCACTCATTTTCTACAATCAATCCGAATTTAAAAAAAGTCATAATAAGTCTAAGTTTAGTAACGGATAATAAAATGCCCTGGCAATTGTGTCACGTAGCGATCGCAATTGTATAGACAAATAAAAGATGCTGTTCCGGCTAAACCCAATGTCAAGGAGCTTGTCACACGAATTTGTTTCATGAGTTACTGTAGCACTGTGCAAAATCAATGAATGGACTCGTTTCGCCACTTGCCAAATTCGTAATTATGATTTAGGTTTTAATATATGGGAAAATGTTGTTGTATTTATACTGTAACTTTCAATTAAAGCCTATTTTAAGAATACTCATTTCTCACAAAAAAGTATTTTACGTAATTCTCACGCGGATTGGGTTTTTAATCATCAATTACTGAGCAAATGATAATACTAAGAGTCATATTAATATCAGAACCCTTTTCTTTTAAACTAGAATAAAGGTTACATTGTTCGGCTATAAATAGAACAAAAGTCGCTGTCTCCTTAAGTGATACAGACTATGCAATTCATTATTTTATCGAGCTGATGGTCATATTCACGCACAGTGTCAATTAATCGCTACTGTGTAAACTTTAATTAGGGCGATTGTGCGTTCTCTCAGGAGAAGAACAAAGTTTTAGCGTTGCAGAGTTGCAATGGAATACAATGGTATGTGATCATTATAATTCCCAAAAAAGAGGAATTATCATATGTAATAGTCACATAAAATGCGTATTATCCATGAGAGTCACACATACACCGCAGCTCTAATGTTTACGTTGCTTTTCGGATACAAAGCATGAGTTTTTTTCTTCGCATCACTATTTTTACTATAGGTAAGTTGTTACACTCCACTCCACTCTAATACAAGAATTGATCAAGTAACAAGGTTAATTTTAGATACAAACGTTTGATAAAAAAAAGCCAAGATTACACCATCTTTTTGGGAGGGACGTACAAACGGCTTCTTTCAGGATAATTTAATCTTGTGTTTGCGTATAAATCGCCATGTTTTTCCTCTTTGTAATCGCATTCCATTTCTCGTCTTATCGGATCAACGGTTCCGCGTTTTTAAATTTCTGACTTGTATTAATATATCGGTATTACGTCAATTTGCGTTTTTCTTGGCAAAAATACTAAATTGGGGATGATTTAATCTTCACGGTCACTACTCTCTCCCCTGCATTTTTTTCCGGACAGTATTTATCCGTATAATGTTCACGTTGCCAAATTTGGAACATACAATTTAAATTATGTAAAATTTTGTGTAACTTGAATCACAACCGTCAAATACGGCCTCTATTTTCAAACACGTTATTATGGCCCAAACGGGATTTGATAGTTCCAGCCCATGGAGTGGGCCTAACCACGTCTAGTTGACATGCATGCCACTCCTTCATTTATCGTTATCTACTAAGCCATATTTACTCGACGATTGCAGATGACAGCTCAGACGCCGCAGAAGCTTATCAGAAAAAAAAAGCTTTAACCTTGTTATGGGATTGTAATCGCCAAATGATAATTGTCCTGCGTTACAGCTAATGAATACAGCCACTAGTTCTATAGATCGACCGCTATCAACAATCAATGTTTAAAATATCAATACGTTAATACTACAACATTGCATTGCACCACACAACATCAACCAATACTAGTTGCGTATCTGTCCTTTTTCTTTTTTTTTTTGTATGAGTAGTAAATAAATAGATGACTATAGTCATCATACTGCGAACTGTTGGATGTCCATTTATTTATTTATTTGCAATCTTTTTTGGGGCCCGAACATTAAAACACACTAATGCAATGCCTATATATAGTAATCGAGAGTTTATCATTCCATTTCACAGTGTGTGGAACAACCCCTCTCGCCTCTCAGCATAATCTGTGCATGCGGACGTTACTCAAGGAACCGTATCGGTCACATGTAATACAGAAAAGGAGTAACAAGGATACCACACACAACGTATGCTGGTAAATGAAACGCAAAGGAAAATACTGCTTCCCCCCCCTTTCCCTATCAGATATAATAATGATATTATGCAGATATTTTTAGAATCAATAACGTGAGGCTAAAAATGGTTGTACCTAGATTATCACTTTCGGATTAGAATGTTCCCCTCGATAATGATAAGACAAACTCACGTTAATGCTAAAATAAAAATTTGTAGAACGTTTACTTGCATAAATATTATCATCAACTACAACAGAACCACAATGTCTGGATAAAGTTATTGGGTTCTATTATTATGGGATTTGTTACTGGTTAACGTAGCGATAACGCACATGCTAACATACCAAATAAAAAGCAAGATTATTGTTTACTCATGTACAAGAACTTTTTTTGAGCCGAGGTAATTAATTTATCAAATGTAAAACTAACTTTGAGCTACCTCTAAACTTTGTACAGTCAGCTGTTAGTCATCAATTTGCCGACATTACAACTTCTCATATGCATAAAAAAATCTCATCGGTCATCTTATTATTACGATTAATAATGTCGACCGTTTTTTTTTTGACAATATGAATGAAATTTAAGCCTTATCATCAACTCTAATTATTCGCCTTCCATTATCCTCATAATCATCTCCTTTTCCCTTTTTTGCAACACAAAAAATGATGAATAATCACATAAATGATAGAGATCTGCGCCAAACGTAATTTCACATTGCACAACAGAAGCCATTAATAGAAATTGTCGAAACACCTACAAGATCGATTAATCGTATTGTCTCGCTTCCGCCCATAGTATACTATGCCCCCCCCATCCATCGATCGCAGTTTCGGCAAACAAACTGCGAAACCGTTCGATGTTTTTGTCTCTTGCATACGCTATGTAAAAAATACCTTTCACATGGTATGACGCAAGTAGGACATATTTGTCAATAATGTGGAATAAGCGAATAGGGAAAAAAAAGTCATGTTCTCCCGACTACACAACATTTTCTTTTTGCAATCAAGCCAGGATACTGTCTGTTTAACATGTAACCGGACAGTCTTTGGGATAATCACATCTCCTTACAAACTTTGTATGTGCGATTGTTGTATGTCCTATGTCGTATGTTCCTATGTACGATGCTTTTGTTTGTGTTTGTTTGTTTTAACATTTACTGGGTTTCTGGTTTTGGGAAAATGTGCAATGTACATACTGTTAGTAGTGGCACGAAAGCTTTGTGTAATTAATAATTTCCCAGGCGATTTTGCTTATAGAAACTAGAACAAAGTTTATGTGGGGGCTTCGCCCCTTGTGTGCTTTTGTTGTCAATTTTATAACAAAATATAAGTTTATTGTTTATTGATTTATTTTATATAGTATACTACCATTTAGTCAGGGAAAAAAAATAACATTTAACATATAGAAAGTAGTTACAACTCTTTATGTGGGGGTAAATTTAATTTTGCTGATGCTAAGTCTGTAATTTTGTTTGAAGTATTCGAACGTAATTGTCTATTTGGGGGCTTCACTTTTTTTTTCTTGCTTGATGGATTTTGGTAAATCGCAATCACTCTCAATTGTAGCCGCAGAATCAGTGTCTTGGCTGTTTAAAGGTTTAGAAGAGGAAGGCGTTGGATTTGTGATATTCGTTTGCGGGAGAGTTGGTGGTTTTCAAGTTGTCAAAGAGTGATTTGTACATGAGTGTTCTTTTTTCCGATAAGGGGTTGGGGTCGAGTGGTCACGAGATATTTGGTTGGTTGGAGTAATGTGAGGAGACGTGTCGAGGGAAAGAAAGTCAAAGTTGTGAAGCTCTAAGTAGAGCTTGTTGTTATATACGTCTAATTCGCCAACAGTAGATACTTTCGAGCCAATTTTTGCTTTCTTTATTCTTATCATGTAGATTTTTTTTATCGGAATTATGACGGATTTGTATATCAAATTCAGCAAGTTGTATTGTAGGACCAGCACCCGGAGACATATTGTACTACAAATGTGTCATGTTATTACGAACTTGTGCCGGAGATTTTATAGTACCAATCGCTCGTAGCCAACTTCATGCATGAGGAAAGTTTGTTGAAACCTTTTGAGAGACATGGCATTTGAACGGTTTGATCTGCAAAAAGTGTGGTAAGTAATAATTAATGGTATTACTGGTTCAATCAAGGTTTATGTGCTTAATTTACAGTGTATTAAGAAAAAAATAGTGGTGACGAAAATTGTATATCTCAATGATAAATTAAACAAATTTAGGTTTATTTGAAAACTTATTAGATACTTTATTTAATAGTAAAATTTTAGTATAAAATTCTATTGCCATCATGCAACAAAATAGCTTTGCATCTGCTTTGCATGGAGGAGACTAAATTATTAACTATCTCCTGAGGAATTGCATCCCATTCCTCAATCATAAATCTCATTAACTTATCTGTATTTTGTGGCATTCGCTTTTCGACATTATTCTTCATAATTTGCCACATATTTTTAATTGGGTTGAGGTCCGGACTGTTGGATGGCCAGTCAATTACATGGATTGAATTTTTAGCGAGAAATTCCTTGGCAACACGTGACGTGTGCTTTGGATCATTGTCCTGTTGCAAACGCCAACTCCTCGGATACATTCTTTGGGCAGCAGGTAAAAGTTGGGTTTGCAATATTCTCACATAAAAGGGACCATCCATTATATTTGTGAAACAGAACAAGGGAGTTTTTCCCATTCGAGAAATGCCTCCCCACGCCATTACCTTCTGGCGAGATTTGGGTAATTTTCGAATGGGTCTGTCACCAGTTTTGTGCCATCGACGGACCTTGTTTCGGAAGAGGTCGAAGGCTGTCTCATCCGTAAATAATGTTCTGTTCCAATTGTCATTTGCATGCGTCTGTGCCCAAGCCTTTCTCATCTCAATATGCCGTTCGGTGAACATCGGCGTTGCTAAAGGCACAGAGCTTTTATAACCTTTTTTTTTTTTCATGTATCCCCACACAGTAACATGCGAAATTGGCATATTCTGTGTATTTTCTACTTTTGTAGCAAGTTGGCGGGTCGATAAAACATTATTACGGCGTATATTCTGTCCGATAACGCGAGCGACAATTTGTGTAACCTTGGGTTTACGTCCGTTTCCTCGCTTGTGCTCAACGGTACCTGTTTCTCTTAGTTTTTTGAGATTATTCTCAACAGTACGAAGGTAAATTTTTGTTATTTTGTGTATTTTTTTGGCTGACTTGGCAGTAATGTTTAATCGTTTGTCTTTGGGCTTCGAGCTTCGCGTTAACCATCTTTACGAAAGTATAAACAAAAAAAAGAGTGTGTAACAAAAAGTTGTGTTTATGAAAACATATTAACTGGATATGGAATTGATCGTATTTGTAGTACAATTATTATTAACAGCGCGTATTTCTTTATGTATTACAAAAAAACCAAATTTTTTATTGACCACCATTTTTTTCTTAACACACTGTATACGTACTGTAATGATATTATTTTCCAACTTTGTAATAGCTCCGGCCAATTCAACAACATCATCAGCCACAAAAGGCAATGTTGCGGACCAATCGGAATTGTTTTTAGGTACATAAACTTCAAAATCGGTGGCAATAGGTTCGTCAGCAAATTAAGAAATATTTCTTTAGCTTTAAGTATTTGATGTTCGGGCCGATTATTTACTTGGACTTCAATGACATGCACAGCCGTTGAGTCGAAATGAACTAACATTTTTTTGCTGGTGAATAGAGTCAAAATATTGGGTGTTTTTTTAAAGATAATGTAATGTACGATTTATGTCTACTGTTTGAGAGTTTGGTAGAATGTGTTTGCGGTGAGGGTTGCTTTTATAGTATTTGGTAAATGGTGTAATTTTGCTGCTTTTTACACAAATTTGTTGCTACGTATGTATTTGTGATGTAACGGTGTGGCAATAACATTCGCGCCGATTTATTAAGCTTTAATTTAGATAGCTGCTAAACGCTTTTTTAATTATGAAATTACGTAAATTACATTATGCTTTACATTAGACACGACACTAACATTGCCTGCTCGCCAGGCTACTTGGGCGTTGCTCCGCTCTTTATTAAACGAATACGGTAATATTTACTTCGTTCTGCTATTACATGAGTAATTGGTATGAATTAATTTTTATAATTAAAACGCATTTATTTGAGTATAAGACTACGTTGAATAAATATCGAAATAACATCGTATCTTAAACCAATTGCTTTGTCATAAAATACCAAAAAAAAACATTCATTAATATTGAATAGAAAGATATGTATATAATTATTTTGTTTACAAAATACGAAAACGAAGCTATCTATTAATACTGAATAAGAAAGCTATGTTATACATTCTAAACAATGATCAATACTCGATTGGGAGCTATTAAAACGGCAGTGCATCGCGGTGACGCCTGTGCTGTAATATATGAAGACGAGGTTAGTAACATCCATTCAAAGGTGGTTGCGAACGTTTTGCGAGGATATAAGATCATATTTTGTTTTGTCCAAAAAAAATACGTACTTTCCGACTACCTTCCATAAACCTTGTGCCGAGACAAAAGTTGTAATTGAAAACAGCACAGCGGCTGCTACAATTAAATTTATATTTATAATCTTCATAACTGAAAAATCGTTAATTGAAAGATTATGTCGTATTTTCTAGAGTCGAGACGTGTAATTTAGAGCCTGCACACTTATTGTCTAGAGGACGGAGCAATATTGCAGTGTGACTCGACATCCAGCTAGCGTCAAGTTTATCGAGTATTTATCGTCTTACGACGCCTGCATATCTGGTGTGGCTTGTCTTGTTGGCTTTGCGATCAGCCTCATTTGATGAAAACAAGTCACTCATTTTTCTACAATCAATCCGAATTTAAAAAAGTCATCCTTGGAAAATAATAAGTCCAAGTTTAATAGCAATTGTGTCACGCAGCGATCGCAATTGTATAGACAAATAAAAAGATGCTGTTCCGGCTAAACCCAATGTCAAGGAGCTTGTCACACGAATTTGTTTCATGAGTTATCCGTAGCACTGTGCAAAAATCAATGAATGGACTCGTTTCGCCACTTGCCAAATTCGTAATTATGATTTAGGTTTTAATATATGGGAAAATGTTGTTGTATTTATACTGTAACTTTCAATTAAAGCCTATTTTAAGAATACCAATTTTCACAAAAAAGTATTTTGCGTAATTCTCACACGGAGTGGGTTTTTGTTAATTTCAATCATCAATTACTAAGCAAATGATAATACTAAGAGTCATATTAATATCAGAACCCTTTTTTTAAAACTAGAATAAAGGTTATATTGTTCGGCTAAAAATAGAACAAAAGTCGCCTGTCTCCTTATGTAATACAGACTATGCAATTTATTATTTTATCGAGCTGATGGTCATATTCACGCACAGTGTCAATTAATTGCTACTGTGTAAACTTTAATTAGGGCAATTGTGTGTTCTCTCAGGAGAAGAACAAAGTTTTAGCGTTGCAGAGTTGCAATGGAATACAATGGTATGTGATTATTATAATTTCCAAAAAAGAGGAAATATCATATGTAATAGTCACATAAAATGCGTACTATCTATGAGAGTCACACATACACCGCAGCTCTAATGTTTACGTTGCTTTCGGGTACAACGTATGAGTTTTTTTTCTTCGCATCACTATTTTTACTATAGGTAAGTTGTTACACTCCACTCCACTCTAATACAAGAATTGATCAAGTAACAAGGTTAATTTTAGATACAAACGTTTGATAAAAAAAAGCCAAGATTACACCATCTTTTTGGGAGGGACGTACAAACGGCTTCTTTCAGGATAATTTAATCTTGTGTTTGCGTATAAATCGCCATGTTTTTCCTCTTTGTAATCGCATTCCATTTCTCGTCTTATCGGATCAACGGTTCCGCGTTTTTAAATTTCTGACTTGTATTAATATATCGGTATTACGTCAATTTGCGTTTTTTTTGGCAAAAATACTAAATTGGTGGTAATTTAATCTTCACGGCCCAAGAAGTTTACTACTCGCTCTCTTCCTGCATTTTTTTCCGGCCGTATAATGTTTACGTTGCCAAATTTGGAACATACAATTTAAATTATGGAAAATTTTGTGTAACTTGAATTACAACCGTCAAATACGGCCTCTATTTTCAAACACGTTATTATGGCCCAAACGGGACTTGATAGTTCCAGCCCATGGAGTGGGCCCAACCACGTCTAGTTGACATGCATGCCACTCCTTCATTATCATTATCTACTAAGCCATATTTACTCGACGATTGTAGATGACAGCTCAGACGCCGCAGAAGCTTATCAGGAAAAAAAAGCTTTAACCTTGGTATGTGATTGTAATCGCCAAATGATAATTGTCCTGCGTTACAGCTAATAAATACAGCCATCTAGTTCTATAGATCGACCGATATCAACAATCAATGTTTAAAATATCAATACGTTAATACTACAACATTGCATTGCACCACACAACATCAATATAATATTATATTCCACCATTGTCAAGTTTTCGTGAAACCAAGACACTTGCGTATCTGTCTTCTTTTTCTTTTTCTTTTTTGTATGAGTAGTAAATAAGTAGGCGACTATAGTCATTCTTATTCGTCATGCAGCGAACTGTTGGATGCTTTTGTTTGTGTTTGTTTGTTTTAACAATTACTGGGTTTCTGGTTTTGGAAAAATGTGCAATGTACATACTGTTAGTACGTGGCACGAAAGCTTTGTGTAATTAATAATTCCCCAGGCGATTTTGCTTATAGAAATTACCGTGACAATCTACCCCCTTTTTTTGCAGACTATGTCAGGAATTAAAGTATTAGTATGAAGAGAAACACGGACGTAATCTCCGTCCATAATATAACCTTACATGGTTAATAGATTCTCTTATCAGCTTATGCATACAAGAGATCGTGTGAATTTAAATATTAAGATTCATAACAAACTTTATCAGACATTAATATTCGTAGAAGCAAGACTGGTAATGATCTGCAAAAGTTGAAGATCCATGAACGATTTGCATTCAGGAAAAAAAAATACACTCGGGAAATCCACACCAGGTCAGGGATATAGTGAATTTATTAACAATTTAAAATCCCTCAAAAACGAAAAGCAATGTGTGTATACGTGTAATCTCATAAATTACAATTAACTTAGAAAATTCAGATAAAAAACCTCAACTTCACTAGTGAAAAGACATGATTAGTACTCCCCCCCCTCCACCCTCTCATTCCGATCGAAACGCTTTTTTTTCCTATCAAACACCAAAAACACTTTTTTTGTTCTAAAAATCCATTATCTCGATTCTCTCTTTCCCTTCTATTACTCAACCATCTAATCCTCTTCTGCATGATATCCAACCTTTCTCATTTCACCCAATTTTCTCCTTGCATTAGTCAATTCCTTCTCAAGCTTCAATATCTCCACTTGCTGTTCCATCTCTTGGCGTTTAAAGTCGTGTGGAGTTAATGAAGCATAATCAACGTGGTGTTCTTTTTCTTCTAGTTGTTTAGCCGCTATCTCCTTTACCGCCTTCACTAACGCCTTACAGGCATCGATCACTGCTTTAGACGCTGCCTCTAGCCTATCTTGAGTCTTGCTCATAAAGTCAGCTTTGACACGTGATGCAGCTACCAACTGAGCAGTGGCCGCTGCGACTTCATTGGATGCAACGATCAATTGTTCCAATGACGCCTTGCCAGAAATCACGCCGTCTGCCGTTTCAATAAGAAGGTTCGTGGCCATGGCAATAGCCTTTGCCGCCGAGATAAGACCTTCTGTCCATCGATTGTGTTTTTTGTAAAAAGCAGCGTGCGTGCTTGATCCTCTGCCTTTTGCTACTATCTCTTGCTGCGAATCTGTAGCGCATTTAATAAGATGCGCAATCGCGTTCGTGACGGCAAGAGCTGATTCCAAAATCGCATCATGCACAAGAAGCTCAGTGGTCGAGAGTGTTGCATCACGTGGTCTAGACATGAGCGCTTGGATTCTGGCCGTTGCTTGTTCGATGACTTTGGCCGCGTTAAGCATTTCGTGTTCGACCAGATCACCAACTTCTCCGTCTGCCTTATTGCTTACATCAATCGTAGTCTTTAGTAAGCCCTCTGTTACTTTGGATACTTTCTGGAGCGCTGTCTGCACATCCAATTCACCTTGATTTACAATCTGTGCACGCGCTGTGGATGATACACCATCCAACTTGTATGACTGAACGCTGAGCAAGAATTTCTGTGACGTTGTCGCCGCTATCTTGGCTGTTCGCACAATATTGTCAACGACATCGTCTTCATCAGCCAATCGAGTTATACCCTTCGAGTTGGCCAATACATCCGATATGGCCTGCGCAAAACTAGTCGCCGTCTTTATGACTTCGGTATGTTCACGTGTCCTATCACTCTTTAGGAATCTCTGAAGTGCATACGATAGCTCTGACACTTGTGTTGTAGCCTTTTCAATCATTGACAGAGTGTATTCAGGTGTGCTGTTTTGATTTCCAACCTGCATGGGCGATTCCAATTCATAGATGCTGTCGTCGATCTTTTGGATACATGTTTGGAAAATGCTATCTATAATACAAAATAAATAGCAACGTGTTAGTTGTAAACTGGTCGCGCCGGGGTAATAGGTAAGAAAGTGAGGAAAGACGTATACCAAGAATATCGTTCAGGTTACGCAAGTGGTCGAGTATCAAATTGTCAATTGCAGTTTGCATTCCACTTTCTGAATCAGATTGCGACTATATAATATAATATACGCTGTCAATATTGTAATCATGCCATTATACGTGTATATTCATTGTACAAGTAACAACCTGTTGTAGCTTAGCCAACGCTTGAACGGTTTGATCAAACCCTGCTTGTGCTATCGCTATCTCTTCATCTTTTTCCTAAAGAAAAAAAAATAATCCATCCGAAATTGTCAGCTAACGCTCAAAGAAAATGCGCCCGAAAGTATTGATCGCGTAATTTATAGATTACCTGTGTTATGCGTTCAAGTTCGCGTTGCTTCTCTTCTAGCCTTCTAAGCAAATCATCAATATACGACTGCTTACCCTATAAACAAGACGGAAATAACACGGCAGTTGGTACGTGTATGGTGAAAACAAAGATAAAAAAGCACATTGGAAATATGTCATTATGGCATATAACCAATCGTAAAGAGAAAAGATCAATTACCCTTGCAGCATCTTCAAGCTCTTGTTTTTCTCGGTTAAATTTGGCTAAAAGAGATCCAATCTCACTGCTCTTGGATCTGGATAATTCTTCGGCACGCGCATTCGCTGCAGCTAATTCGCGCTTAACTCTTTCTACTTCTTCTCGTTGGCTCTGAAAAGATCAAACAACGAAACGAAGCGTCAATGATTATAAAATTCTAGTCCCGTTATCCTCACGTAATCAAAATTTTTATCCTTGCCGTCTTGCCTCGGGAACAACCAATAAATAATAACAACTTACACCCCTGAGACGATCCAACTCATGTCTCGCTCGATCTCTTTCGCGAATCATATCTGCCAACTCTAAATTCTTTGCTTTAACGTCTCGCTCCATTCTCTCCATTTTGTCAATTGCTTCCTGTGCAGAGTTTGCTTTCAATTGAGCCGCCTTGAATTTATTGAGAAGTTCAATGTGTTCTTGGCGAAGTTGAGAATATAGCTTGGCGAGTGCTTCGTATTTGTTCTTCCACATAATGATTTGATCTAAAGAGTTGAGACGGGTGAATTAGAATAATGTCTCTACGGTGCAACATGTAAATGCGAAACGCGAGTGTAACATATATTGTACCTTGCAAGTTCTTGATCATATCGTCTTTGGATTGAAGTTGTTGCTGCATGTTGAGGTTAAGTTGCTGCATTTCATTCTCTAGTGCTTTTACTCTCTGAAATAAAACATCGTGTTAAAATGGTATAAATAAAAAACATCACGTTTGCTTCCTCCTTTCCACCACCCTATTCACACGAGTCTGCCTATACCTCACACCCCAAACCACGCAATTCCTACCCTGTCATATTGCTCCAACATCATCTGATCTCTCTCAACATGTCCCCTCAATCCTAAAATCTCTCTCTCCAGTTCCGCAACACGTCCTTCAGCCTGCCTTCGCATTTGCTCTCGCAATAATTGCTCCCTAGCCAACCTCTCTCTTTCCGCTTGCATCTTTTGCTGCTCCTCAAAATCTTTTTGCAACTGCAGTTCCATCATTCGTTGCCTCTGTAATTCCAACTCTCGTTGCGTTTGAAGCTGTCTCTGTTGTTCTTCCAGCTGTCGTTGGCGTTCAGTTTCAGCTTGATCGTTAGTATTCCAGAATTCGGTTATATTTTCCGGTTCGGAGGCGTTCGTCGAGGGCGCCGGAGATCTGGTTTGAGGACGTGCCGGAAGAGCTGGAACACTGCTATCGATTAAGCTTGGTGGATCCTGGAAAAATAGAAAAAAAATTTTCACTTGGTGTGCTGACAACGTTTTGATAATTGCTTAGTAGCAACCAGATATGGTTACTAGCTTACCTGCGGTAGTTTGGGCACGTTGATTAAACTTGTTAGGTATTGCAAGTTTGAGCATTCGGCATAAAATTTCCTCAGTAAATAATGCTGAGCATTATAACGTGATCTCAACGGTGCGAGTGCATCTATAGCATCTGTTCTTCGGTGCATGGCACGAAGCATGCTGGTGAGAAATTGGTAGATACCATGACTTTCTTCGACCAATGGGACTAGGGCGGCAATGCGGCATTCATTGTTTGAAGATGGACGGAAATTCGCAATGATCAGTTTTTGGAACTGGTCAATTTGGTCTTGAAGAGTCATCAAATCGCTGATTGTTTCGTATCTGATAGTAATGGTTTAGATACGATTAATTAATATTAATTTCGGGCGCGGTTCATATAATATATGATATAATTAGTCAATTACCCTTCATTGGGATCATCGATGTTTTTCAGCGTTACATATTCTTCATAATCAAAGTTCCCATTGAATTCGGGATGCCTTTTATGATAGTCTATTTTTTGCAATATAAAGTCTACGTATGCTCTGATAAGTGATCCGTACCCTGTTCGAAAAATAGATCACCAGTTAAAACGCGCCTGGTCGATGCATGATGAAACAACGATAGATCACCCTACCTTTAAACCCATCTCCACTGACTTTACCCAGGTTTTTGATCCATTGAACTTCGTTCTGTACTTCTTTCAACGTCTAATGAAGAGGACCATAATCAGTTGATTGTTGTATATATGGTAATATGTGCAAAACAGCAGTACGTGCTGATCAATCATTACGACACGCCTCCAAACCTCCCTTTCAATTACTTACAATCGGATGTCCCCCACGAATAATCTTGTGAACGGTAATTAATGCTTTGAATGTTTGCACTTCGTCATTGAGGATCGGCTGAACTCTGAAAGCAGTCCATACTGACTGGGATGAATGGTAATCCCATGTGTAAACAATACAACCTTAAAGACAAAATGTTACTGTTCAGCGCATTTTCCCGAGTCTCATTCTTGGATTTGATAAATTGCACAAATACAAACACTAACTTCTGACATGCTTCTGCTTTGGTGCTGTTTCTATTTGATTGGTAGCTTTCCTTATATAATTAGATAACTCGTGTTCAGCTTTTTCTTTATCAACCGAACGGCTAGGTATGTGACTCATGATATGTGTCAAGAGACTGATTCAAAGAAAGAGAAAGCGTTATGCCAAGTGTCCTCAATCAATCTAGAAGTACTTGGCAGAACATTTGGCATAAATCACCACTATGGGCGTATCATTTGCGTTAAAGTCGTACGGACTACATGAATGAGGCGCAGCACAGCCGAATCTTAAAACGAGATCATTTTAGTAATTATAATAATAATGGGAACATCGTAATCGGATAATTTGAAAGGTCTCTTTTTTCCCCCACTTAACAGTTACAAAATAAAATGTATATTCTGTGTAAATAAAAAAAGTTACCGGTATCTTTTCTCAAACGTTAGAATTATGTCTATTGGATATAGAAAATATTACGTCATATCGTGCATTTCAAGGTCACGTAATCTCCATAAACTTGCCAACAAAGAGGCGCATCTTGCCTATTTCTCGCGTTGCATTGCGTCAATTTGATACATACATAATAATGGGCATCAATATGAATAGAATTTGCTACTTATTATGTTGCCAGGAGACATATATCTGTCACCAAGCCTACGTCTAAATTTTTCATCTGCCTACAGTTACATTCGGTTTTTCTTGAGAAAATAAGATGTTTGTTTTTCGTTCACTAAAACAAATGTCATTCATCGCATATCGCCGAATCGTTTCCCATAAATTTTTAAAGCTGTTTCTTGGAATTCTACACGTCTTCTTCTATGTCAGCAGTTGAAGACAACTGAAATTAAAGAAATAAATAAAGAAAGAGAGAACGGTAATCTTGTCGATTGTACTGTTGATAATAGTAAAGTATTTTCCCTCAAAGGAATCGTGGAATTTATCGTTGGTTTTCATAATTAATAAACCGGCAGCCCATTTCGTGAAGCACTAAATATGAATTGGAATAGCGATAGTGTCACTGCCATATTAGGCCTTTTTGCATACATGTGACTGAAAAGATAATCTGACATGTGATGGCAAGTACTAAAATAAAAAATTTCTTTACATCAAATCGTAAGCGTTGCGTTCGGTAAAGGATGTCTCTATCAATTCTTTCCTCTCGAATATTTACTCGTATTCATGGTTTTCGCCACGTGTCTCTTCGTAATGGCTATGCAGCGTACTCGAGGGCTTATACGAGTATGTGGCCTCAGTATATCGAAGTGGTGTTCTTGACTAGCCGCACTTTTTGCATTGAATGCAACGACCTATTGTAAAGATATAGAATGTGAACTGATTTCGACTTTACCTAGGCAGGAAACGATTCACAGAAGACCATGAATGGGTCGAAATTCATGGTAACATTGGTACAGTGGGAATAACTGATTACGCTCAGAAAGCGCTGGGTGACGTAGTGTATGTCGAACTGCCAAAAGTAGGGACGGTAATAGAAAAAGCAGGTATAGTGCATGAGACGATAAACGTATGTTCGATGCGAGAGACGAATTTATGAGAGTGACTCTCAATTCAATGTCTTTAATACACGTATTTCTAGATGTTATCGGTGCAGTGGAAAGTGTAAAGGCTGCAAGTGATATTTATGCGCCTGCGAGTGGAAAGATTACTAAAGTTAATGAGAGCTTATCTGAAAATCCTGGTTTGATAAACAAGAGCCCAGAGAATGAAGGTATGTTTATATTCTTTATGATTACGCCTTTATAAATTCCACTAATGAATAATATACCAATAGCTTGGCTTTGCAAGATCAATTTATCCACTCCTAAGGAATTGGATGAGCTAATGGACGCGAATGCTTATGATGCATACTGTGCAAAAGGTTGATTTTCTAGAAGAGTAGTGGCTGGTCTCTAATTGACTACAATCGACCCCGGACGTTGATGTCTAAGGGCTCATTGGTGTAAAGCGTTGTCGGTCGTAGTAAGAGTTACGAATGTGGTTGGGTTGACTTTGTGTAGAACAATAGATAGATTAAACGACTGACGGATAAAGTGGAATCAAGTGAAAGCAAGCTTTTCGCTGAATAATAAATACAGGTACAAGGTGGTGTTCATATCATGCGGAACTATCGATGACTGAATTAGTAGAAATGTAAAAATATTATATGGGCTTATGCTACTGTCATTAATGTGATCATGACAGCTAGAAGGTATACAAACAGTCAAGTTTGCGTCAAGTATTCCATATCAATTAGTCGTTCTAAAATAAAGGTAATTCCTCCTTCGCATGGTTAGATGTTTATTTCAACGCTAAATTTACAGCTGTAGTATTATGGCGTGAATACATTCACTATGATTATTTTTCAAATTAAACTCTTTTCGTGTTTATGTCAGTTGCTTCCGGAATTGGTTTTTTTCGAAAGATTCATAGCCAAACAGATAAAATCGACGGGCTGGTGGTGACGGTTTAAGTTTTGTTTATGAGCATTAGTTGGTATACTGTTGCGTCAACACAAAATTACTACTATTAGTAGAATACTGAACCGCTTTGTCTGTTTCATTACTTGACAATCAAAACTTCGACCTTACGCAATGTGGCCAGACCACAGTTTTTCTAGAATTGGAAATTGGGCAACTTGTTTTGCTTAATTTTTGCTGTTCGATAAATCGCATCCAATGATCCATTTGTCGTTTTCAAGTTTTTTGATTCTGATATAAGCGCTTATTGACGTTTCACGGAGTTTCTTCTTTCGTGGTCTCGCTAAAGCCTTTCTCGTAATTTTGATCTGGTTTTTTACTGCCAGATGATGAAATAGAGTTTATTATTAATAGAGAGACCGGCGGTGCAATGGTATTCATGGTCGAATCAACAATTAAAAATAACTTGATAACACTATTTCTTAATGACAAAGTGCCGTGCTCAACATACGAATTTTGTTAACCCGTTTATGTTACTGATTACAGCCTCATAAGAAAGAGAACAGACTGTTGTTTGCTTTCAGCATACCTGCTTATCCTGAGCATTATCCGTTCTATACACGAGGTGGGCTGTCTGTTTACCATATGAAGCATGACAACAGTCTATCTATTAAGCACATCTATTACTATATGCTTGTTTCTCTAATTGTTTCGTATTTAATGTAATACAATGTTGTATTAACATTACGCGTCTGCAGAATTACTTTATGCGATACGAACGCGAATACTTTGCGGAATACGCTCCAAAAAGTAGAATTCAGAGTGACTCACATGAATTAACTAACAAAACGAATAAGTGGCCATTCAACGTATGTAATTTAGAATGACAAAAACCAATTTTGCCGAAATATGTTGCTTTCTTATGAGCCATCTAGTCTTTTACCGCCGAAACGTTATTTCATAATAGTCTTACAAGGATAATGTTTCTTAAATAATTTTCGATACAATGTGCAACATCAGGTAATAAGGACGTAAAATCCTCTGGCAGAAAGCTTTCCATTAAACCCGTCGTAGAGATAAACAAGAGAATCTTAAACCAAGACTGATCGCATCTATCAATGAAAAACGCAGGATAAAACGGTTGTTTTTTTTATTTAAATCCACCGCCTATAGAACTGACAACATCTACTTATGTATCGTCCTAGAATCAATGCGTATTTTATCATCAAATAACTAATGCATTATGCACAGTTCAAACACAAATAAATTACTACATAGAAAAATAACGAACACAACGTTTACTTTAGCATAAAGAGTACGTTAAAAGCAGTTTAAGCAAGAAATATGTGACAAACTAAAGATATACAAATGATATAGAATGTGACACATATCATAAAATGAGACTGGGAGCATACTTGTGAGTGAAAAGTCATAGAACAATGTGAGCTTAAAAAGTTATGATAGCGTATGGTAGCGTTTGGTAGCAGTACAAATACTTATCGACGGTATCGAATGGTTAAAAGAGTCGGTTTTATTTTGCGGTCTTTAGTAAGAAATTTTAGGGACATTTGACGGGATTTACATGGTTACAGAATTCATATTAATATACACTATTAAATAATGTGTTATTTCCCTATTTTCAATGTTATTTTCGCAAGCAAATCGTTGTTACTTGATATTAACAAGGAAACAATACAGTCTGTTTCAAAAAAACCGGAATTGCATAATAGCTACTGTAGCAAACAGCATAAGTAATAACTTTGTTTGAAAGGTAAAAACGGATTAATTTTATTAATAAATTTTAGTATAAAATTCGCTCGCCATTACTCTCAATAACAAGCTCACAACGTCGCCTCATTGAATTTACAAGATTAATTAGAGTCAATTCTGGTATTTTTCCCACTCCTCAACCATAAACTGCTTCAATTCAATCAATTTTTTTGGCATTCGCCTTTCTACGTTCCTCTTAACTATACTCCACAAATTTTTAATCGGATTCAAGTCAGGACTATTAGCCGGCCAGTCCATAACTTGAGAAACATTTTCTTGAAGGAATAACTGGGCTAGACGTCTTGTATGCTTTGGATCGATTTTGCAAAATGTCAACATAAAATTGCAGAATATATCAGGGTAAAATACCACAAAACGATCTTTCTCCATGCTTACGTCATTCTCAGAGACATTATTTATAGCAACGTTATCAATCGCGTGACTCCATGATAAGACGACCTTAAACAACATGAATCAAATTAGTTAATGTCAAAATTGGGACTATTATATTGAAAAGATTATGTTAGCGTCGATTAATACTAACTTTATATTTCGTTGAACCTTCATCTTTCCTTACGTCAAAAGGATTATCATCTTCTTTACGTGTTATCTCTACATCAAATTCGTGATCATTCGTCTTCTTAAAAGTAATAACGCAGATTAGAAATGAGCTAATACACATCACAAAACAAACAGATTTAAAAAAAAAGTTACTGGAGACCTCAGCTGATTCTTCATCGTAATCATTTAAAGAATTATTCCCGTTGTAATAAGATGGAGAAGGAGAGCGATCGCGAAGGTTGGGAGGAGGTGTAACAATAGGGGAAGCTTCTTCAGCTGATCGTGTTTTGGGATTTCCTGTTATTGTCTGAATAATATATTAGTAAAGTAAACAAATGCTTATTATCAACAGTATTTCATACCAATGTAAATGTGTCGTTAACATTTTCGACAGCTGAATGAACGTTTCTAATTGTTGTTGCAAAGGTTTTTTTGGAAACACTTATCAACGAACTAGTAGCTTCAACCTGCAGTCAGTAAAGAAAATAAATTAATATAGTGCCAACCTTTGTTGAAGCAACAAGTAAACTATAACCTCTGCGGTCTGTAACTGATCCTGTAGCTGTCTATTTAGTTCAATTTTATTCCAAAAAGCGTTGACACCAGAAAAATTTTCACGATGACCCTTAAAAACAATGAGTTAATATCATATGGCCTTCCTAATAGTTCACGCGGAATTAGTACACTACAGAAAGCAGGTACAACGGGCATTCCGACCGTAAGGTAGACAGCATTCCGATGTCACCGTAGTTGTACAGGGTTCCATTTTCCCATAGCGGACATTCCGACCGTAAGGTAGACAGCATTCCGATATCACCGTAGCTATGAGAGCTCCCTCTGCTAATCACCCATTTCAGAGAACAATGATAGAAACTCAAAGTACTTGCCTTAAAACTATTGTTCAACTGACTAGCACCTTTCTTCATTTCCTCCGTGCCATCGCTGATGAGACAGTCGAGATCCATTTTCAGTTTGTAGGATTCCGTCCGAAAAGAGAAAGTAAAGTCTACTTGCTTCAAAGTAAGCACACCACTTGCTAGACATTGTCTTTTGACTAATTAGAAAACGCGAGACGAGAAATGTCGATCGCGTACTTATGTACCACAATCACGAGAAACCGTAATTTTCACGTGCGCGCGTTACAAAGAAATGCATGCTCTCTTAGAAGTTTGTCGCTTAATTTTTTTATTACAAGCCGGATATATGGGAAACAAAATTCATATTTGAGAATGTACTGTATATACACATAAAATATGGATCTGTTAAGTAAAAAATGGAGCTAATAAAGTGGATGTTTCAAGGGAGGAATAAAGCATAAATGCCTGCCGAGCCCTAACCCATATAATGGCAGTTCCTTTCCCGCTACTCACACTAGCTATCGTCATTGCTATTATTACTATTGAATTCATTACTACTACTTCCTAGACTACTAAAGTAAGTATCTTTCTTTTTTCCTTCTTTCTCGACCCAAGCCTCAATTTTATCCAGTGAAGAGATTTCTGATGCCGATAGAAGCTAGCAAGTGTAGCCGGACTAAGGTCTATCTCTTCAGATAAGACGTTATACATTTTCGTGGAAGAACGTCCATCCCTCTTCCTTCTCTCGTTAAATAAGGCAGTAAATTCGACCCAGAAAGTCTCAGTTTCGTCGGAGTATTCAGATTTGTGGCTTCTTGCAGATTCTTGTCCTTTAATTATCGAAGCCAATACATTGGTGTTAAATATGTGTCCGAGACACTAGCTCCGCTATAACCACGTTGTTGAATAAATACCTTGAGACCGAATCTCACTTTTCCAGCCTATTTCAGTTCGCATTCTAGTAATCTCATTATTAAGTGCTAGAATTGTTTTTTCGAGTTTTTGTATAGAAGAATCACTCGGCATTATTATTTTGCGTATATATATAAATGCTATGATGAGAATTATATATATTGTCTCATTTCCGGGGATAATTGTGTGGAGTGTCTCCGTAGTTAAGATACCTCGAATAAATAATTCATAGATCGCGATTACATATACAGCGATGAAAATAACGAACAAAAAATTATCGGATGAATTGAGTGGCATGTTGTAGTAAATAAATTGATTATTCGGTTGATTGTTTGATTGTTATATCGCGCGACGATAATTTTGTTAAGGACAAACCTGCAAATTTAACCCTAGACAACGCACGTTTTTATATCTGTAGCTCGTAAAGCTGTGTCTCAGACACTAGCTCTGCTATATCTCACAGTAAAGGCGATCAATATATCTTAATTTCATAAAACAAAGACGGATTAGCTTAATTTATTGCACATGCCTTTTCTTAGCACGAATTATATCTGGTTTATTCTATGTGACCATGGCATTGGTTCTTTAGATTTCGTTCTAAGTAACTAATTCGTCGCTCCATTAGCAGAGCCGACCCATCACTCGAATGACTTGAGTTTTATGATCGACCCACCACTCGAATGACTTGAATTTTGCGATCCATACGTCATAGCTCATAAGTAGGTAACAGTCTAGTGTAAGTAGAGAACATTAATATATTGTTCTCTACTGAGGGATGTAATTAGAAACGAATTTCTACACTACATAATATAAATACAAATGAAAAAAAGCATTACTGGCGATGTTTCAATTGATCCATCAGTTGGTTCTTCGTTGCGATCATCAAAAGGATTATCCATGCTACTATAAAGTGGAGAGGGAGTGGAATTGTGAAGGTTGGAACTTTCTCAGCTGATTCATCTTCTACGCTTTGTTCTGATGTATGTATTTCTCGTTCTGAAGTCCGCCTCTCGCCATCTCCAATAGTAGTTTTGATCTATAACTCAAAAGGTTATGTTGTGTATAACAAGACATTTAACTTATAGTCGTAGATACTGTACATACAGGCTTTTGTTTTTTTCTCCTTTCGGTTGATCGTCCAACCTTGGTTTGAACTTTTCCTTGTTCAGGTTGCCCGACGTCCCTTCCATTGAAAATGCTGGCTGGCTTTCACCATACTTTACCCAGATGTTGAAAGACATGATGAGAGATATTTTTTTGAGGAGCGTAACTATTTCATTAGATAGTTTTGTCAATAAATTCTTTTCCATTGTTTACAAAAGCCGGGAGAATGATGGTAATTTTCGGGAGAGTATGGTGTCTTTTAAATGCGAACCAACTGTAGCACGATTAAAATGGTTATGGAGATGTATGAATGATTGAACGTATATATACTACTGTGCACTATGGAGTGTGTTGAATGTGTTGAATGTGTGTGAGAGCAAATACGTTTGTTGAAGAGCCATACGAGGCTTTGTATGGGTTCACTAGACAATAGTGTGAAACAAAATTATCGAGAACGTGTGGCACAGAAACCGCCCTAGCATTAGACAGAGGTGATGAAAACAGACGCAAGATCGCGCCACCAGAAACAGTTGCACCAGTGCGTAATGAAAGAGTATGGCGTCGACTTTCGGCTTTCTGCCACTTTTAGTTAAGAAGGATTCGCAATAAGGATAATAATTCTCTTCAACATTATGGTTTTCTTACCATTACCCACAAATTTGCTAGAAAACTTAGTGATTTCACAACAATTACAATAAAAATTTGACAATGAATTTATTTTAAAGAATATGAAAATGGAGAGTGAGTTGGAAAAATGGTCCTACGAAAGTGTTGAGTTATTTTGGAGGAAGACATTATTGAAGAAATTGGTGGTTAAAAGAAAGACGGAATGACGATTCTTTCCTTATTTATGTTTCGATCACAATTACACAAAAATCACGCGATCCGCAGTTGCTATTTGCAAGAACATTAGGTCTTTTATCATTCATATATACTAATCGACTTTTATGACGAGACAAAGCTAAAGTTGATGTACTGGACGCGTCAATTATGCGATCAAGGTAATGACATTGTTTTTCGACGATTTTTGCTTTCGCTGATGATTTGGCGATAATTACATTCTTGATGATGATTCTGTATATGTAATAATACACTGCTTTTTTTAGGTTTGAGAGGAAAAGATTGTTCGAAAAAAAGCATTAGGCCATTTTCAGATAGAGTTATTAATTACATGTATCTCTGGTATTTATAAATTATTCTTTAATAAAAATAATACGCGTAATGATTATGAAGTATTTAAAGTTTTGAGTTTATTCAATGAGTCCTAGCTCTCGAAGATGATCTGGAATGACTAGATATGGATCCTCATAATACCAAACATATCTTAGAACAACCCAATTTTCTTCGCAGAGTTCTTTTTTGATCTGATCACGCATTAATTGCTTCTCAAAGTCTTCCTCATTTTTGTGAAAATATTTTATATGTTGCTCGTGCTGTTTACCTTGTACTTCTATGGCGAATCCATACTGTGGATAGTACCGTAGAGCACTGAATATAGTACCCCGGGTACATATCTAGAACACCTCAAGTTTTTGAATTGTACCCGGGGGGATGTACCCGGGTACTATGTACGGAGGAGGGTACTATTTTAGGGGGGTACTTTGAAATTCCTTCACAGAGTGATGTGGTTGGTCAATTTTATCATATTAACGTTCATCAGAATTTATCTTTACTTCTTAGTTAACGCGATGGCGCCTCGTGGAAACAAGTGCGTGAAGAGAGCTACCATAACTGAGAAAAAGCGCCGAAGTTGGAATGTTTTAGAATAATCTTATATCAGGAGAAGGTATGTAGTGTACGTTCTGCGGCAAATAAATTTAACATTCAACCAAAACAAACAATCCTATAACTGTTGATGAACAGATCGGTGATAATTACTTAACCACTAATAAAAAAAACATTAAAATATGAAGGAATTCCAGTAATGATAAGATATGAATTTACTTACAGTGTACCAAGAATGCGATCAGTTACTTTTACAAGTTCAGCCTCCAATTTTTATCATGAAAGATATTCCCCATAACCCGCGATGTATTAGTATTCGAATTAATAAAATTAATTACAAATTCATCACATTTTCTTATAACTGATTCCTGCACAACACATTTCATATTCTCCTTAGGTTCTAAAAAAGTACTCCTTTGTCTACGACCCAAATTTTTCACAATGTCTGAAGTATCACTAAGAACCATACTAGCTTCCGGATCTTTCCATGTAAGACTTGAAGGACGAGTATTCATGAGAATTTGCTTGAGTGCCCCATAAAAATTTGCATCCGCCTCCGATGTAGGGTGCAAAATATACAAATTTGTTAATTTTCGAAACAAAAAAAAAAATACTTATACTAACTAATAATTACCTCAAAAAATTTTTTTAATTCGTTAATATTTTCTTCTATTTTTTCTTGGTTATTGTCTGGGAGAATATCTTTCTCCATATTAAGTACTTTTTAACGCCTTCAAACCTCGAACACTAATATACCCGCTTTCAACCTATGGTGAATGCAATAACAAATACCGGTATAATAAGTAAAACTTCAATTTAGTGGGCCCTAATTTATATTACACACGTGTGTTTTTCAGAAAATTTTAGATAACATTGTTTTGGCTGGATAGTCACGCACAGTTAGAGAGGAGCAAAAGCCTTTATAGGGCTAGCATTCCCCAACCTTTAGCTATGACATACCAAAACTAAATATTCGCATTTACCATAGATTCATCATTAAATATTGATATCGCAGAATCTGATTTTTTACCAACCTGGGATAATACTTCAAAGACTTTGGTTTTTCGTTCAACATCATCCATTTTCAACAGAGATGAATTTACTGCACGGTCTATCGCTCCTCTTACGTACTTAAGAGAAGGCAAAATATTGTTTTCAATCGTTAGGTAAACTGCGGATGCGCCACAAAGACTGTCTAATGGCTCTTCTAATAAAAGCGCTTCAATCTTGGATATTAAATGTGTCATGCTGATTAGATGTTAGGTTAAGTGTAAAAAGTATTGTTTGTGAGAAATGAAATCGCAGTTACAAGTTAAAGCGACAAACAACCACAACGCAAATATACTGCCCTTTTAAAACGTTCTACCGCGGGTATGGCTCGGAGAGACATTGTCATGCATGCACAGCGAAAAAACTTTTCACAAAGAAAATGCGTATGTCATGAGTTAGTAACAATCAGCAGGTCACACAATTATTGCTTTGCAATGGGCATGAAAAGTTCCACGACCTTGATATATAGCATGTGATGTGTTGATCGAACATCTGTGTTACGCATATTTCGGAAATTTGGCCCACAGTAACGGGTCGTACGGTTACATCATACCGATACATGAAAAGTTCCCGGTGATTATCTGTATTACGCAATCGATTTTTCAGTCATGTGATTCATTCCCGATAATTGAGTGTTTTCATTTGGGATCGTCATTACGAGATATGCAATCAGGAATTATCACAAGAGTAAACTAATTCATCGCTGTTTTGTGAAATTAATTGCTTTTCGGCTGAAATCATCTACGATTACCTGTAAATATCGAGCGATTCCGAGCCGAAGTAATTAATTTATGAATGAACTGATCACTAAATCCGAAATTGATTTTGTTAGTCACGAGGATTGTGGTATATAAAAAATGAGTTAAGTATATGGAAAACTTATGTGTCAGAGACACCAGCTCCGCTATCCGGTTATACACCTCGCTATGTCTGCTAATATCTCATCTCTCGAATCCCTTGCATTAAATATCTTACAAAATTCATTCCCAGAAAAGATCGCAGAAGGTGTCAATGTTTCGGAGCTAGACCCATGTTTGTTATGCAACCAAGAACTTTTTTTGTATGAAATAAAAAACCCGATTACCATACTCATCTGCGGTCATATATATCATCGCGATTGTATCAAAAATTTCATCAAAAAAACATTCAATATGTCCAAGATCTGATTGCAAGAAGGAGATAAAAACTATGGTCGAGAGCACACCTGAAAGTCTATATACCACTGATCCAATGAATATCTCTCCAGCATTATTTAGTGATTTTCCAATAGTTAAAGATACGCCCCAGAAAAAGCGTGTTGGCGAACCCACCAGTAAATTATCTAATAAGAAAACGAAGATAGAAGAAGCAAGTTTCGAAGGAAAATTCTCCTACGTTACAAAGATTAATAAAAGAATTGGGAACTGACCTTTCAGAGAAAACTTTGCCGACTAAACCAGTATCCGAAGAAGCAGGGCTTCGAGTCTCTGACTCATCGAATGAGAACTCGATCAATTTTCTAGCTTTATACCAAACTATAATTAATGCCGAAGATATTAGTAAAAAAACGACGCAAGAAGTCATTCTTCACTATTTCTATTTTGGGAAAGCACTCGAGGAACGATTCAATCACTACAAAAAAAAAAACAATTCTAAACGTACGGCTCAAGGTTTAGTTAATAATGATGTTAGGGCTCAGATTCCCAAATCTGTTAGTGAAAGCTTACTTCGAAAGACAAAGGAAAGGGCTCAGAAGATTTATGATATCTTTAATGAGATCGGGGTCGATAAAATCAAACGGATTCGGTCTTTTACAGCTACAACAATAGCAAATATATCCCAAGATGACATTGATTTTGTATTAGCCAAACTTTCGGTAATTTATGCCGATTCTAAAAAATATAGACAGGCCTCACTACTATGTAATAATAATAATCTATTGTAAGGTCACGTGATGTTGTGACAAGCTGTCACAATCTATGGAATAAAATTTAATCGTGTTAGTATGGTGCACCAACTCCATACTAATACTCGACACCTGTCTTCAAAATCTTTCAGCTCAACGTAGAGGCGTCTTTTTGGAATATCTGCCAGTAATTATGTTGTTGCCGTCTAATTTTCCAATGTATTTTTAGCCGTGCTAATTATAATTTATGCATGTGACATAGAGCCCCAGTGGATGATTTATACTGGTTATATGTTATGCCTTTACAGTTACTATTTGGATTAAATTCTGATATTTATTTCCCCAGCATCTGAGGCGGTAAGTGCTTGTTCTAAGTACATTTCGTGCTAAGACTTTAATTCATTTTGTAATATAAAAAATAGAATACCATTCTTAAATTTTTTCCTCAATCCGCACTTCTAATTTTTTCCTTAATCCGCACTTGATAATTGTTCATGATCCAATTTTTTACCATCTCCAAGTAATTCGAATTATAAAAATAAAATCGCAATTTATAACCTTCCCAATCCCACCAACCGAACAAGTTTAAATTATTAAACCATTCCAGTATATCTTCGTTTTTCAAGCTTTGAATAACGTTACCATCAGTAACCTCGAGAGTGTGGTATTTCTCAGTAATATCGGGACCTAATCCATATGCAAAGTTACAATAACAATTATCCAAAGATCGAAAAATCGTATCTGGCTTGAGAAAACTGGAAATTCCTATGAAGATATGATATTTCGAATTAGGCAAATTCATATGGCTTCGAATATGACATTTTCATACCTGAACTCCAAAACCATGTCTCCACAAGCCAATTGCGTTGCAGTGCTAGTTTTACTACAGGTCTATAATCCCTGTCACCAGCAATCAAAACTAAAACACCAGGATCATGTGAAGTAACTACTTCCGTTGCTGTCATTATAAGTTGTGTGTCGACTTCCTTTTCACGGTGGCTTCTGATGTCCTGATCAAAGATATCCACCTTGAAACCTTGATCCCTGATGCGAGCCCACAATGAATCGTTAGGAGGTGGACGAGAACCGACCAAGAATGGTGCACCACCTAGTTTACGTCCGCATTGAACTGTGTTGAGAAGTCTACCATGGTCGATCTGGAGTTGTCTAAAGTAATAAGAATTTCTGTCAAAGTCGTAGGTACCTAACTGCTCGAGGTTTCCAACGGTGTACTTTCCCTCAATCCAGATGTTCGAATTATCAATAAATATGTGTACATGGTTAGTAAATGGCCTATCCATTATAGATGTTCTCGAAACTTCCTTAATTAACTCTGTTATTCTTTTGGCTGGGCCAATAGATAATCCAATTCGATAGAGATCATCTTCTTTCAAGAGAAGAAAATCTTTACCAGCGATCTCATTTTTCTTGATTATTTCGATATTATCATTATTAAGATATAAATTTCCAGACTCTAAGAAACTAACAAGTTGCTCAGGAGAATACTTTTTAATTTCCTCTATTGAAGGAAAAGATCTCTCAGTACTTGTGTCTTGACTTAAATTGCTTTGTTGACGTTGCTGACATTTGAGGAGTTTGCGATTAGGTAAATTTTTTAACCAATAATCTTTCTTTCTCATTAAAGCTCTGTTCAGGCTGGTTCGATTACCATATACGAGAAAACGCATCTGGAACTTCAATCTGTTTTTAAGATAGTGGATGTGGAAAATAATTGTCTGAGAGCAAAGTGGACTATGCATTATGAAAAATTTTGATCACATGAATTTCTCTGTCTGGCACATGATCTTGACCAATAATTGTAATTGATGATGATGATGTAAAAGCGGATTACAATAATGAGTATTGCGAGAAACTTTTATTCACAACAAGGTGCTCACTAAAGCCCAATTTAAGCTGTTTTTATCTTTTACATAGTAATAGTAAATTAAGAGAATAAAAGCCCAGAAAGAGGCAGATTGCTTGTTATTATGAAGGGGGGGTGTATACTATAATGCACAATGCAATCTTGGTTATTGCTATCAATATGGAATTGGAGTAGAGAAGAATGCTAAAAAAGCAGTTAAATTATGTGAAAAAGCTGTTATAGTTAGGCAAGAATATGCTGATGCACAAAACCATCTCAGCTACTGCCATGAACATGGTATTGGAGTAGAGAAGGATGCTAAGAAAGCAGTTGAATTATATAAAAAAAGCAGTTAAACAAGGAAATGTCTCTGCACAAAAACATCTCAGCTACTGCCATGAACATGGTATTGGAGTAGAGAAAGCTGTTAAGAATAAGAAGGCAGTTGAATTATAAAAAAAGCAGCTGAACAAGGGGACACTAATGCACAGAGTTATCTTAAAAATTATTATAATGGATAAGAAAAAGTTGGTTCACACAGTATTCAAAAGTCACTTTTATATTGTAGTTATTGTATGAACTGACATTTTCATGTAGATGATTTTTTGAATCTTGCCATTAAAATATGTTATCATAAATAATTGATGGGAGACCAGAAAAAAAGAACCAATTGTTGGTGTGATTATGATATAATAATTATGTAAAAATAGTATTGTATTAGTAGTAGTAGATGGAAAGTGTTGTTTAAAGTATGTAATAGTAAGCTCAAGTTATTATAAATAAAGAATTTGTTCAGAAAAAAAATTATTTTACAGTAACATGCAAAGGTATGCCATTGCTTCTAATTATAATACAAGACAGAGATAATGAAATGCTTTCTGCATGCCAATATAGTGACAATAATTTTCTATTACAAATATTAATATCCAGTGTTTTGTTTATCTTTTTTTTATTATTACTTTTTTTAAATCTATAAACCACAATTATTGTCAATTTACCCAAAAGTGCATGTTAATGTGACCATGGTTTTAGTTCAATGATGTACAATTGTTGGCTTTGAATACTGACAAATTAATTGTTGTGTCATTAACGTTTGCTTCTACAAGTCCATTTATTACTATTTAGTATTAGCATGTTTGTTTTCAAAATTGCATTTTACCTTTATGAACAGCTCCTTGAGATTGTGGAATGTCAAATCTTCCCTGATAATTTCATAGTAATCGGAAGTAGCACAGAGCTTCGCATAACAGATGATGTAAATTCTGCTTCTAATATTAATGAACCACAAATACAAAAAAAAATACTGTCTTGGCTACTTTACTAGAACTTTTATTTTAGTGGAAAACTTTGGCACAACAATTGCGTGACATTTGTAATTACATAATAGACAGTGATTAGCTTATATTACATAATTTTCGTTTAATGCCATGTTGATTACACATTGCCGGCTTGATTTTTGCAAAAGTACACTCATAAAATTTTTATTGGATTAGTTGTAGAATTTTAAAAAGCACTCGGTTATTAATAAATTGCTCGCATAATCTACACAGTGTTAGTGTCTAGTCTTTTACCTAATGTCTGTAGATTTTCGCAATTGCGGTGTATTGCTTCGTCATACATGTCTTGGGCTTGAGTCTTTTCGTCTCGTAATGTTGATCAGACATCCCATTCCCAAACTGAATAATCAGTTGAAATCGAAACAGATTTGAATGTATTATATAGATCTTACTTTTACGTTCTAAACCTCCTAATAAAGTTTTATGTGGCCTATTCGATAAACCGATTATTCGACCGTTCGACAATTTAGTTATTGGTGTGAATTACTCTGTTTAAAGATAAAACATTAAGAACAATGTAATTGTCACGAGACTGTATGTTGATGCTATCAACGATTGCTTACCTCGGCAATAAATAATTTGGGCGTTTTCGTCAAGACTCTTAAAAAATTTGAGAACGACAGTTTTCGGTATATCTTTTCCTGAATTACCTTTACGTCTGGCAGTACGGTGCTGTCTGCATAACCACTAGTGGCAATCTCTCTAATCTTATCAAATCAGAGTACCGAAAACGCTTTACACATACACGTCTTCATCACCAATTATTGTATAGATTGCCATAAAGAAGTGGTTCGCTGATTGTTTGTACGCAAGTTTGTAAAAGTAAGTTTTACATGCATTTTTTTAGAAAATTTTCAACCAGAGAAATATATTTTCTCGATCTTGTTCTGCGGGATGCTGCGAATAAAACACTGTGCCCGAGTTATCAGTGCGATAAATCGCGCTTTCTGTATGTTTGACACTTTTCTCTGGCATGTTAATTTGTTGTAAACGTAGGTTTTACAACTTTTCATTAGACTCGGACGTTTGATAAGAGAACGTTTTGTCTGGTAAAGTAAGAATAACGTGATGAATACTGGTTCAATTTTCACGTTCCTACCATCATGTAATCAATACAGTTGTTGTAATAGCAGTGGTTATCGTCATCGCCGTTGCCGCCGTTGTACTGTCTGGCGTTGTTATTGTTGTATCGTTATTGTTGCTATTGTTGTCTGGTTACAATATACGTAATTTCACGAGTCTGTCAAGAACATTCTCCAAACAATTAATTTATCGACATGTCACACAAGCCATTATTAGATAATACGTATTTTTCTCGTGTGACTTTTTAATTGACGGAACATGATTTGTAAACCAAAAAAAGTAAACATTAAAAATACCGATTAATTACTCCAACTCTTATTACGATTGTAAGTTATTATGCAATATACTTTTACACTATGCATCATTGATCGTTACTGCGTAGTACCGGCAATTCGATCAGAGACTACAAACAATCACCATTCCAGTTGGACAGTTCTCACGATACACAGACTCTTATGCATATGTCTTCACTCCCGTCCACTTAATATTAACAACTCGCCATCGCCGTCGTCGTCATCGTCGTCGTCGCACATTCGCATCTGCATCAAGTTTTTGGTTATTGGCTTGTTTATCTATTATGCGTTCCGCAAGCTCACAACAACAATGCTGAAAGTCATATTGTGCGTATCGGCAAGAGCCAGTATCATATAGATGGTAATAATTATTATCACAATATCTGTTACTATTGTCGCAAATCAGCGTGTTTATGATCACCCCGAAATAGTAAAATTGATTTTTGAGAGAACAAAGAAACGTTTCGATGTGCAATCGTCAAAGTCCGAACTGTAACGTTGCTCTTCACAACACATGATGCCAAGCTATAAAAACATTGACGCACGCCATGAGATCCGAGTCCCCATCAGACATTCGAACCGTGTAACATGTTATAATTATTTTGGACCGTCGAAATTGGACAAGTCATATGTAATTGAACCGATTAACTCGCCCCAACGCCTCTCGAGACTTATGCAGGGGTTTGGGGGGAAGAACGTCAATGAAGTTTTAGAAGAACCAACTGTGAGTAAAAAGTGCAGTAAAAATGAAATACAAACATTTATCAAAACAAACGAATAACTCAAACAGGAAGGAAAATGAAAAAAAAGTCAAAGCAGAACAGTGAACATGGAGATTTTGAATCGACAATTTATCTCTATATTAATTAACTGTGCGAGAACGAGATTATAGAGATAAGCCTCAAGATTGCTGAATATATACATATTAAATTTGTCTTTGTCCAAAAAACCTGTTTCTATATACCACCGCCTTCGACAATGGGCTGCCAACTTTGGGTCAATTAATTAATTTATCGAGTCCATTATGTTATTACTCTATATCAACGGGTTTTGTTTGTTTACCGGTATACAATGTTGAGAATGTTTATATGTGACGTTCTTTGATGGGTTCTAACATACCAATCTGTATGTTCATTGTTTATTAACACTTTGCTATGCGTGCTAACTCTGTTAATTGACATTTCTATCCTAATTGGAATTGTGCTGTCCGGGAACGGAACTAACACCAATACTTTAGGATCGCACAAAAGATAGCATGTATAGATAATTGATCACAATACTTACTATTAAAGTTTATGCCCCCTTCATTCAACACACAGGGAAGGGGGGGATGGGTGCGTGTGTGGGATACTCTTTTTGAATTTACTCGTTTTAAAACACTATTCCCAAACACTGCCAATTGAGTTTAATGTAGATACGAGCTTATTGGCTAGTTAGGTATCATTCTAATTTGTATGTTTATCACTAGATTGATAGTGTAACACAGAAGGGGGGGAAAAAACTTTAATTCCAACAATTAACTTTATGTGTAACGAGATTCAACAATGTGAAAGAAATGCCCGGGGAACAGCCCCCATGAATACCCGATGGGAACGTACCCAACGGTTGCTTCGATTGTATACGTAGAACAGACGCATCTCCTTCTCTCCTCTCCCCCCCCTTACAAGAACCAAATGTCGGTAATTAAAACGTGAACACTTTCTAAACCATTTATCTAATATTTCGATCTTCTTTGTTTATTCAATAATAATCGTATAATACACCAATAAAAAAAATTGGTCCAATTCGAGATTTTGTGCTATTACTATATACCAGATTAAAGCGTATATCCATATCTATAACAAGGAATATATATCTTATCAAACCATATGTACACGTTTGGCATCTATTTGATGATAATCGACTTCAATGTACAATTATTATTTTCATCTCTGATAACTAATACCAAATTACTAAATAAAAAAAAAAATATAGAAAAGCGAGGCAGGAGAAAGAGATACATGTCTGTTGCATTGCATTGCATGTCTGTACATGCGTGTGTGTATAAGAGTGTGTATGTATGAACGATGTGTTGTGAACGACCCGTTTTGTTCATTCTGTCGGTACTGTTGTAGTCTTCCTCTTTCCGTATATTCTGTACATTTTTGTTTCAGACCGGTATTCGTTCATTTCCTGCGTTACGGCATGATTAATCGCCTTTACGTACTCTTCATCGCTGAGTCTGAGCGTCGGCTGTATGATGGGTTTGAAGGTACTGGCAGACATTCGAAGACCATCACTAACCTAATAAGTATAAAAAGTGAACGAGTTGAGCAGTTGAGCAGTTGAGCGGGTAACCTCACATGACTGCATTCTACATGTGCCTTATTTCTTACAAACGCGGAATGTCATGCACACTTACCAACTCGCCCCATCTGCCACCCCAGCTGCCGAAAGGAGTAACTTTCTCGTTCACAGTAATGTCGACGATCATGTTCGTATCACTCAACAGTTCCTCGATCTTCTCGCGCATGTAAGGATTAACCCCATTGGCTTGTATACACGTTCTCACTATTGTTAAGCGGGAAATGAAAAAGTGAGCGAATGCATAATCAATATATATTTATATGGATAGCTCAATTCCCACCATGAAATAGACAAACTCTCAGGTAGTATGAACCATTTCCGATTTCCGGACGGGCAAACAACCAAACCCTCCACCACACCCCCCTCTTAACTTTTCCACCAGTCATCATTTACCTGCTTCTACAAGAGTCTGAGTTACGGGTCCTTGCTTGTCGATTTCAAAATCACATTCCATTATCTCGCAGTATCCGCCCGGCTTTGTAACTCGGACAATTTCATCAATCAGCGGCACCCATTCCTCTTCTTTCAGAGCCAGAGCGAGAAACCGTTGATGGACAAAATCAAATGTATTGTCCTCGAACGGTAGCCCGTCGTGGACGTCTGCCTGATAGAATCGCGCGTTGTGAGGTTTGATTGCAGATGGAAATATCGGAGAGTTGTCTAGTCCTATAAAAGTAGAGTGCGGATAATCTGCTGCCATCTCGAGTATCCATGTTCCGGGTCCACAACTAAATAAAACGAGTATTTTTTCCGAGTTATTATAGGTTACGTGCGTGCGTGTAATGCGTTAGTGTTGTGTTGTGTTGTGTTGTGTTGTGTTGTGTTGTGTTGCGTGTTATATAGTTGATAGAAACAAGATCTTTATCATTCGATCATTTCAACATACCCTATATCCAGTACCTTTGCCTTCCCCGCTTTGAGAATGTTATGTATCGGGGCTGAAAAGTTGCCTTCCCAGCCGTATCTCACCATATAATGCATCAGTTGAAGCCGATTTATTTCGTCCTCGTTGTTGTGTATCGGATAAACCGAACTCGATCTATCGCCATTACTCGCGACGCTTTGAGCGATCGATGTCCTGGTGGTAGAGGTAGTTGGAGTCGCAACTGTGGTGGGTCGTCCGAACGTACTCGTACCATAGCTACTGTGAACCGATGACATGTTTGATAATTGATTGTCGACCGACTGTTGAAGAATATCAGTCTCGCCATCATTGCATCTGTACATACAATTCCCCATGGTTATGTAGTCTTTTTTTTTTTTTTTACACGGTCTGTTTCGATGATGAAGAAGAAGAAGAAGATGAAGATGATGGTGATGATGAAGAAAAAGAATAAGGCACGTAAAAAGTTGGTAAATCCGTGTGTTTCAGTTGTTTCGGGTGGTGGGGATCGATCAATCAAAGCGCAACCGAATACTTTTTATTGGCGTGCGTTCCGTGTTACAAGCAATCCATTTCGGTATACATATGATTTTTTATATTTGATTACTTTATGACACAAAAGTAGCAAGTAGAGTAAAATCCATGCGTTATAACAGACATGTATACATACATAATATAAATATAAATATAAACATAAATGTAATTATAAATTTAATATAAGTTTACTATATATAAGTATAACTATTACGGTTACATTTCATTTTCTTAATGAACGTTGTGCTGTACTAGTACATACACAACCACTGACTTTGTGTTGCTATATTTATCATACTTCTGGTTTTTCTGTTACGCACTAATTGACTGATAGTGTAACAAGGGTTTATAATTTATCCCTCGATATTCGACAACAATACACAAAGCACACATGGCCGCAAAGTGATTTGGAATAGCGCATCCCCAAAACAAAATCAGACTAACGGTTAACGGATTGATGAATGGTGGGATGATGAGACATGATGGGTGACCGGAGGGAATACCGACAACAACCCATTCGTCCAACCATTCAAAAAGGCTAAACCTTGTGAACAGATATCGCAGATATCGATACACGCACGCTTGTTTTTACAAAAATCAAATTTATACTGATAAGGATTCAGATTGAACAGTGTCAAATTAGAAATTGATTCGATAAAATAAATATTTTTTTATGTTGTGAAATCAGTTACAAAAAAAACGCAACAACACCAAATTCGACATTTTCTTTTTTTTTTCATCCGATTTCTTTTTTTTTTTTCTTCTTCTTCGGGGAATGCAATTCCAATGGATATTGTGTAAACACGATTCAAATTTCCACAAATAGTTATATTATTGTTACGTCAGTATCACCTTTTAATATTTTCTGATGTCACATTACTCATATTGACGTCGTCGTAATTGTTTTACATTCCGGATTTTAGAGTACACAGTACAACAATCGAGCTGCAAGAATGTGCTAATAAAAGCTCACTCGCAAACATGTGATTGCGCAGGAGAAAATCTCTTTTTGCTTCGCACATGTCAAATATCCCTTTCGAAAAAGACGATTTTTACTTGTCATATCAAAAAAGAAAAAAGTAAACCCTTTTTTTTTTTGTCTGTTTGGTCGGGAAGAACAAAATGACACAGCGTTGATGGTATACAAGCAAAGGACTTTTAAATTTTTTCGTTCAACATGACTTTTTTTTCTTTACTCGGTTGCTCATTTTAGACATGACCACATTTTTAATTTCCTCTCCTCGCCCAAACAACATGGTACTTCTTTGATAATCTCAAGTCGGACTATCGTAAATATTTATGATGAACAAACAAACAGCAATCTGACACGCTAGTTTAAGTATTTTTAAGGGCGGCTGGCGAGATGACAAGGTAACATGACATAACATAATGTAACAATAACATGACATGACATAACATAATGTAACAATAACATGACATAAAATAAAACAACATAAAATAAAACAACATGAAATAAAACAACATGAAATAAAACAACATAACATAACATATCATACATATTATCACATAACATAACATAACATACATAACATCACATGCATTACATACATAACATGACATGCTATTGATAATAATCCCATCCGCTTAAACTAATCCATGAAAATTGCCGTATCCGTTGCACGCCCATGATAAGAACACTTTTTTCCAAATAACCCGTTTTTATCTCGTGCAATAATGTTTTTCTCGTATTATTGTGCTACATGGGCCTAAATTGCTCGATCAAACTCTAATTCTAAAAGTACATTCTTTATGCAAGTTGGTTGAGTAGCCGGATCGAAAAAGATACTAAAACTCTAATTATGGCCAATAATATCAAGTTATCTTTTAGAGACTTTTGCGTCTAATCCCAATTGGGTTAGTTCAATTGCGTTCTTTGAATTTCACGCAGAAACCATCACCACCCAACACAGTTCCAACACACTCCCACAAACACACCACTCACCACTCACCACACAACACACACCGCGCACCACGCACCATACGCACCATACGCATCGCACGCATCACACGCATCACACACACCATACACACCACACACACACACACACACACCACACACGCATTACACCATCTATCACATTACCCACCATCACATTGCCGCATCATCGTAACCTCCGCCATTATCCTGTATAGGTTTGAGTTAGACTACGCTTACCGCATGCCAGATTGTCTGACTACTCGTACAATGTTTGGGACGTCTTTACTCTTGAAATACATTCACGTGTTCTTTTACTATTTGATCCTCATTCACATTCTTTGTTTCTACTACTAATTCTTAATTGCCAAGTTACTTTTTTTCTTAACGTCTCACCAGTCTTATCAGATTTTTATCAATTGGGGCACGCCTCCCTTCTCAACAGTGCTTTGAATTTTTCATACATTCCCGACATGTTTATCAGATGTCGACCCTTCAACGGGGAAATGTTGCTTTGCGTATGTGTGAAAACTCGTTTCCCTTTCCCCCCTTTTTACCCCCCGCTTTTTCCCTTTCCCCTTGCCCCCTTCCCGCTCAGCCCACCCGCAGACAAGATGTGTTCAATTGACGTCAATATGTGTTACTTTGGCTAGAATTCCAAGTTTCGGTGGATGGTTCTTTTAGAAATTGTACAATAACACCAATGGTATGTTAACGTTTTACATGCTTATTCGTTCGAGTGCACGAGTTTGAGACAACATCGATAGTAGAAGACTTGTGAAAAAGAGAAGCATCGGGCTTAATCGATAGTTTTAATAAAGTTTTGGTTTTGCCTCACCTATCATAAACATACGCTTGGTGAGTTGTGCGAGGGAATTATTCTCGAAAAGCGGGAAAGTCATCAGTTGACGTCTAAAAATAAAAGTTTTGCAAGTTATTATTTGGCTTTTCAAGCGTCCTTTTTTTTTTTATTTAAACCACTCTGAAAATCCAAAGTTTATATTCAACACCAAAATTGGGATATTTATGGAAAGCACAGTAATTAATAGTAATCACTTGATTTACAAAGTATATTAATATCAATTTTTCAAGGTTAAAAGTTTTTGCTTTTTGCGCCAATTTTGATATTGCAGCAGTAGTTGCATTGGTAGTAGTAACATCTCATATGCGTGTGTGCAAACGCATGCAAGACTGAACAATATCTAATAAGACGCAATTAATTATTTGAGAATAAGAATTTGCCTTTTCGGTAGTACAGTCGCCCAAAGTTAAAATATAAAAGAACAAACCTTTGCAAAGCGTATTGTATCTTAAACCGCTTACGTTATTTTTATTCTTCTTTTTATTGTTAAAACCACACTACTTTACATGCATAAACGTAATAATAATTGGCTCATTGTAAAATTTTTAACATTTCGAAACTTTGATTGGTTTTCTATCAAACTTTTTAGCGTTCCAAAGAAGGAATAATTCAAACTTTTGTCTTTATATCGACATAAAACAGGTGTTTGAAAAACTAATGTTTATTCTCATGAATTGGTGATTATATTGATACGGTATGTTTATTTTCCAATGGTCAATATGTAAATCTGCTCATTGTGTCTGTCTCAATATGTTTAGTATGTCACCACGTTTAATGTTTATCCATCTCGGAAGATTAACGTTGCGTTTGTTCACAAATGGAGAAAAAGTAAACCCGTTTAATAGTCAACTTAATCGTAGAGTTTATTTCGTTGGTCTTTTCTCATTGGAAGTTATTAATAATAACCTTGTTGAATACTGCATATTTAAACAACAATCAAATTCTTTAGAGAAAACATTTCGACTAATCGAAACTGGTATAATAAGGTACAGTGTGATTATTATTGCTATTGTCTTTATCTCCAACTGTTTCGCACATACTATTACGATAACGCTATTATTCAACTACAAATCCAACAGCACAATATCGGTTCACTGTCAACAGCGTTTATACGTCAATCTTGACTCGGACAGCTCTTTTACAAAGAGCCATATGTTATTAAATTCTTGACTGCCAAAAAAGAAAAATATTCTAGATTTAATTTTGTGGAAAACACTGATGTCTGGTGGATATCTAACCGTACCGTGGTATCGATTTGGTTAATAAAACAAACTGGCAATGGTTTTGTTTCTTCTCGGTTTATAATAACAAGTTGTATTACAAAGAAAATGGTTGTTCTCATTAATATTAACAGGGACAGTAAAACAAAATCTCGCAATTTTACACGCAATTCTTTTTTTTTAATCAGTTCAAGACGAGGTTACGTGGACAATGAGGGCTTCGGATAGTTTAAATGTGAGTCAAAATTTATTATCTCGTTTTTATACAGTACTACATAAAGAACACGCATAACCGATGTTTTATAAAAGTCGCAAGTTTTTACAACTTGAGAATACACCGAGTTTTGGTCATTAAGCCAATCCCGTTTGCATAAATGTTAACGATGAGGTAAACAATAATACTCTTATTAAAGACAAAAAATTTGTTATGGTTTTTAATTAGCTTGTTTACGTCGTCATTATATAAGCAGTGATTGATATAATTCCTGTGTTTTTTCTTCCTCACTACGTTAAAAGACGCTTTGCTGACATGTCGTTTTGCATAACATAAGATTAAACATTTTAATTGTTTCTAATTAAAATTTTGACATTTCAGACGAAGAAATTATGTGAGGTGTTTATACCAGGCATCGCCGTCTGACTATCGAAACAAAAGACAAGTTACAATTCTTCTACAGCATTTAATTTGTAACGTAAATTTCTTTACCATTTAGTGCGTCATATTTATTACTTACGAAACAATATTATAACAATCCGAGACTAACACATTCTCTGAAAGAACAGGTCTGAACATACCACTACAGT